GTGGCAAAGAAATTGATTCTTCATTCCAATTGACAGATGAATTTGGATCTCCGATTTGTTTGATGGGGGGAAGTTACTCTGTAAATCTGGCCAAGTAGATTGACATATTCAGAAGATTAGTTTTTCAATTTCATAAATAAAAGTGGAAATTAGGGGATGCTGATGATTGTGACATGTAATTCAAGCATGTGTTAATGTTAATTCTTTGTTATTAAAAAGTTATGCTACTATATATGTTCTTTGACTATGCAATTTGATCAAGTTATCTTATTAGTATGAAGTTATTATTACGGAAAATATGATTTTCGCACTCAACTGTTCTCAGTATGCAATCCTTCATTTTGTCCTAGCATTTAAGGAGTTGGTTATAATGCTTACATGTATTTAATACAATTACCATCATGATTGTCAGATGGTGATTGTATTAATATATATATTCGCTTGAGTTACTGCTGATTGTTAGATCATAATTGTATCAAATACATATAAGTATTGCAATCAGTCTCAGTATTCAAATTCAATAATTTAAGCATAATCAAACAACCAAAACATCAGAAATGAGTGCAGTAAGAGAAAACGGGATGTAAAAATGACAACTCTCTTATCATTGTAAACAAAGTGAAATGATGGGGCCCACTTTGAGATTTAAGATTGTGAGCAAGGAAATGGTATACTTTTATACTAATAAAGCCAAAAACGACCTTTTAATCAAACCTTCAAAATTCATAATCCTTGTTCTTTAGCATGATCACCGGATTATGAGATGGCTCCTCCTGCATGCAGGCCCTGCCCTGTTTTAAGCATGTTTTTTGTATGGCTCTATTCATATTCATATGCTTAATTTGATGAGGTAAGTGGCAAATCAACCCATTGAATTGTTACAGCGTACTCGTTAAGACCCGTTTAATTTCTTATCACCATAATATAGAAGGAAGATTGATATTGGTGATGAAGGTGTAAGTTGAAATCCAACTAAATGGATCTTAACAGGTATCTATTAACAATCCAATATTTTGATTTGCCACCTCTAGGTTTAGGGACGGAGGCCGCTGATAATAATATAGATCCGAAGCAGCCAGAGGACAATTTCGAGCATGCCGTGGCCACTGTGAAGGAGGAGTTAGATGAAGCGACTCTTCTTGCTACGAAAGGGAGGATTCTCTCTCTCTCTAGCTTAACTCAAGCAGGGACCAATTTCTTTTGGACGTTCAAAAAAGGGTGAAATAAAGAATGGAGAGTCATCAGCGTTCGATAGTCATACTAAATCAAGCACACTTCAAATCAACTCCCAAGTATTGCCCGCAGTGGAGACAATGTCGCTGAACATTCAAGGATGGAAGAGAAACATCAAGCATTTGGTTACCAAGTGGTTGATGATCTGCAAGTACAAGGAAGTGGAGAGGCATGGGAACCCAGAAGGAGATGACTTGCCGAGCAGTACCAGTGTCGACCTAGATTCTCTTTCGCTGGAGAGATCTTGTTCCCCACCCGTATCAATGAAACTTCAACATCAAAAGAATTTCGAGGAAGACTGATACTCACAGGTGCGTTTGCATCCAAGAAGAGAAATTCGACATGATGTTTCCAGCTTACCTCGCCAAGCTGCCTAATAAGCAGCTGCATAGTAAGTGCCTGAATGTTTACATATAAGCATCATCAGTTCATCGTCTTAAAACTTGCTCATGATTTTTTATCATATGGACTAGTTGAAATCGGCTACAAATTTCTGCAACTTAAAACTTATGAGTTGTGAGCAGTGCTTTAAAAAACTCAGCTCGGGGCGTGCCTGGGCGGTCTTGGAGGCGGGACTTTAATATTTTTGTCTCTGTGGGAGCCGGCGAAATACTCGTTTAGGCTTCATGGGGCACACCTAAGGCATCATCTTTTCATTTTTAAGTTGCAGAAATCTAGAATTTTTTGAGTTGTAGAGTTTGCCTAGCGAATAAGATGAAGATAGCTTGGGTTTTTTTCTTTTTTTTCTTTTTTTGCCTTTTCATTTTTCTAAACTTTTCATTACCCGCTTTGCTGTCGTGACTCATTTATTACCCCTTCTTTGCTGGTATTTATGACTTCACTATCTTCCTTTCTCTTTACTTTTCGTTTTTCTATACTTTTTATTAACCCATTTTCATGACATTTATTATCTCACTTTGCTGATAATTATTACCCCACTATCTTCCTTTCTGTTCACTTTTTATAAGAGTTTTTTGCAAGATTTTCATATAGGCGGGGTTATGCATGAAACATCTCGCTCACACCTTCATATAGGCGGGGTTATTCATGAAATGTCTCACTCACGCCTTCGTCTTTTAAAACATTGGCTGTGAGCAAATTCGTCAATGTCCGTCACGTATTCGCCTGCTTTCAATAGTATAAATTTTGGTTGGACAATGAGACAGATAACATGTGCTATCAGAATGTTGAGAAGTAGAGAGTTCATTGACCGATAACCATAGATACTTCGACAACGCCCTTAACAAACCTTTCCTTACATGTTCGAACCAGGGACTTATCGCTCAAATGGTAAAGCACATATCTCCTACATTTAGCGTAAATGTCCGATTAATCTTATCTTTCTTGGAGTAAAATGGCAAGATATTTTGGTGCTCTTAGTGGACGAGGGACTGAACTCCCCGATAAATAGGAAGGAAACTGAGCAATTCTAGCAAGATCAACTTCTGATCATGTACGGTAACATATCGCGTTGGCTTTGTCGATCGACAGGGAAAGTAGGAAAGCTAGCTACAAATGTGACTGGTTAGGCAATCGCAGCAGCTCAGCTTCGTCCATGTCATGGTACTGTAAGATGGTCCCAGTCCCCCCTAATTCTCAGCGTGCGAAAGATTTACGTACGTTGGTTCTGGAATATATCATGTCCTTTGTAATTTCAACTTTTTAGATAGAAATCCATGTGCTTAATGTGCTTAATGTGCTTGAAATTTGATGTGGTAAGGGATGTGACAGACACCTTCTTGTGATATCAGTTTGGTAAAATAGCATGTGGAGATAAAATCTTGGAGAAGAAGAGTATAGGCTAGCAGCTACATCCCCTCCCATAAAGTTGTATGATTCTTTTTCTACTGGTTTCCAGCAATACACATGCAGACATTCTGCTTATGTTTTCTATGATTCCAGCAATGGTCTACATTAAACTAACCTAACTACGGAGAGAGAATTTAAATTATTATGCACTCTATTGATGTACAAAATTGAGTCAATCTTAGGCTAGCTTAGATCCGACTGTAAAATCATACAAACACAAAAACACACAAGATATATCGTGATTCACCTCAAGTTGGGACTACGTCCACGTTGGTGAAGATCTGATTTCATTAAATAAGAGTTACATTGAGACTTGTTGCCTTTAAGAGAGTAGAGAGACTAGGATTTTCTGGAGAGGCTAGAGTTTTTGAATGAGAGCTCTCCTACGATAAAGGCGACGGATCCTCTCTGTAGGATTAGGGTTTCCCTCCCCTTTACATAGTTCATGGACTAAAGAGTAAGGCCCAAATAAGGTACAACATACTCTCTACAAGTATATTTTTCTTTCTAAATATAAAAATTTTAAAGTACATAATAAGAATATTCGAGTGCTAATAATAATTCCACTTCTAAATTTCTAATTGTTAAATGTTTCTTTTGTTTGCAACAAATAGGTAGTGCAAGCTCTACCCCTTCTTCATTCCATCCCAATATTCGGGGTTTGTTTTGGTTCGGTTTAGGCCTTAGACCGCGCTAAACCAATATAAGATTACAGTTCATGCATTAAACTAGTTGTATGATAGAACCAGACTATTCATTCAATTATTGGTTTAGTTTAGTTTCATTCGGTTATATTCATTCAGAACATATTACATATTCTCTTATTCATGTTAGTTCATGCGGAAAACTAAACAATAGTTGAGAAAATTTCTTACCGTCAAAAGTTGAGAAATTTTAACATTCCATTCTAGGGTTACATATTTTTTAATGTAAAAATCGAACCATTTAGTTCGTGTTTAGTTTTATTCTGCTGGTGTGAACAATTTAGACAATTTTAAGTTCATTTTAATCAATTGTTATACGATCCGACAACTTATCTTATAATGTAGTCGAATTATCTATAATCTAGTCTGATTATCCACTTTCTAAGCTTAAAACTACATGATCGTATTGGAGCTTAATCCCCACCATAACTCAAGCAGTTATCAATTCATTGCCAATTTAATGCATGGACAATAAAAGCCAAACATATGCCAAATTTCATGTGTTTCACTTTCCCAAAATGGAATAAAAACAGTTTAAGAAATGCTAAAAATAAAAACAGCTTTAACATATTTTTTCTCTTGGAAAAGCCAAAAAATAAGAAAAATAACAACAAAATTTTATCTTGAGGTCGGTTTTATAAATCTTAAAATATTACTAAGTTAGATTTTATACCAAGTTTTTCGTCAGTTTCAAATGCTCTATATCTTTTCTTAGCGACGTCTTTCTCTATCCCTTTTACCTTAAACTTCTATATCATAATCGCATCTTTTAATCACACCATCTGTAAATCTTCAGTTCACATGTCTACGCTGTAAGTGAAAAATAAAAAGTGAGTCCTCAGTGTCTTCACCAAACAGTCCTAATCCGAGATACGCCTGCCTTTTTGCACTTTTCTTTTCTGTCGCCCAATCGTCCACGTCTCTGCTCATCTTTATCCTACGCCCACTACACCCCCACTTGCACGTAAGCTGTCCTTACGTGTATCCTCCACCGTATTGATATAGAAGGTGAGGGAAGCCATAGGTGGACTGAGAGTTTATTTAAAAGTCCACTTTTTCTAGCGAACTTTTCTTTTTCGGGTTTTTCTCTCTTTTTCGGAGGCCGAGTCGGACCGATTTCGGCTGGTGCTAACGTGCGCCGCGGTGGCCGGTGATCCGAACTCGGAACTCCTTTTACTATTTAATTATCTAATTCTATCAGCTTCTTCCGCGTTCGTCTCAAATTCCGAACCTTCCGATCATCTGACAGTCTCAGCTCGCGTGGAGTCTGCGGTTGTACGGACGGGGGTTTGGGGGTTTTGACTAAGAAATGGAGTCAGCGGTAGGAGTTAGGGATTGGGGACCGGAGAACCCCTAATTTAGGACTCTGATTGCAGCCTTGGAGATGGAGCGGTGAGTGTTTTGATTGGAATTGTGGAGGTTTTGTAGAATCGGAGTGTTTTTGGGGGCTTTTGCGTTTGATATGGAGCCGAAGGAGCTGAATTTGAACAGGGACTTTGAAACTGGTAGCAGTGGCGGCGGGGGTGGAGGTTGTGGTGGCGGTGGTGGTGGTGCTGATGGGTTCATCGACAGGAGCAGAGTGAGGATTTTACTGTGCGATAACAACCAGTCCAGTTCGGAAGAGGTTTTCACGCTTCTTGTGAAATGTTCTTACCAGGGTATGAACATATTTTATTTATTTTATTATTTTTGTAAAAGTTCATTACTTTGATCGTATCTTCTGTTTTCGAAGTTTGGAAACTGTTAAAGCTTATCACTTGTTTGCTGCTAAGAAAATGGAGGGAAAATTCTGTGAAAGACAGTAAATGAATTGATCCGAATTTAACTTTTTGATGACCTGAGTAAGAAAAAAAAGAAGTTAAGAGTTGCTTTGTGGTGTCTCTTGTTTTCAATCTACAAAGATAAGGTGCACTGAGTTGATGCCAATTACCATATGTGAATTGATTGTCGTTGTGGATGTTTGATCGTTTCTAACTTTCTCGAGTTTCCAAATGAATCCTTAGAGTTTAGGTGAAAGATGGTGTGAATTTATTCGAATAAGTAAATTTTTTGTGAAGAGTGATGCTAAACATGCCACCTGAACAGTGCGACAAGGTTTAGGAAGGCCAAGATGAGAAGCCAACGCTTGAAGATGTTGTGTATGTTCAATTCTGACTCTTGATTTCTTTGCTGATTCTTGATTTCTTTGCTTTACAGTTATTTCCGTGAAGTCTCCTCGACAGGTGATTGATGCATTGAATGCAGAGGGACCTGATATCGATCTTATACTTGCCGAAGTTGACCTTCCAATGCGCAAAGGCATGAAATTGTTGAAGTACATCACACGGGACAGAGAGTTACGGCGCATTCCTGTAATCAGTAAGCATGTCTTTTCTTAATACTATTTTCACTTAATGTTAAATACTTCCTATCAGGGAAAATTGTAGTCATAACTTCACTGCTGAACCTTTTTTCGGCCAGTGATGTCGGCACAAGATGAGGTCTCTACTGTTGTTAAGTGCTTGAAGCTTGGAGCAGCAGACTATCTTGTGAAGCCTTTACGAACTAATGAACTTCTGAACTTGTGGACACACATGTGGAGAAGAAGGCGCATGGTTTGTTTGCATGACTTTGATGCTTTTGTTTCTGAGCTGTTCTTGTAATTACCCACACAGCCCTCTTCCATACCAGTCAATCTTCTCTTGCCCCTTGCTTTATCAAAATCCTTGTTGATAGAAATAAACACAATAGGGATGCCTAGCAAGGTAGCAAGTCAGTAAGTGATCGTCATGTAGGACTTGATGTTTCTTTTGGGCTGTTAGTATCTTTATATATCCTCTTAGGTGCATCTACTATCTTGGATAGTTCAGAAGAAAGCATGCAACCAAATTACCTGCCTTCTCACTTCTGAAGCTAAAGTTTGTAACCTTTATTTCAAAGGGCCACGTCTGTTCATCAGTAATACCTCTTTTTTCAAGTTCCTTATCACTAACTGATGCATGTGCACTAGGATACTACCATATCCTCTCAAATTAGTAACTAATCATTGTTTATTTACTGTATTGGCAGCTTGGGCTGGCAGAGAAGAACCTTATAAATTATGTTGATCTGGTGATATCAGACCCGAGCGGATCCAATACAAACAGTACTACTTTATTCTCGGATGACACAGATGATAAATCTGGCAATCCAGAGACAGGAACCTCAGCTCCTGAGGAAGATAAGGTGACTGTATACTAATTATTTTCTTTTTAAAGATGAGGTTTTTTGGTCGTCATGTAAGATATTTATTAAATATAGAGTTAATTGATTGTTAAGTGTATGCACCTTAAAAAATCTGTTCACTCATCACTGTGAGACCATTAGCTCCACTGACGGCGGATCTGTGTTAAGTCTTTACCGTTGTATTGGTCTGGGAGGGATCTAATATGTAACACACGCAAAATGTCAAATGTCTACTTTATATGTTGTTTTGAGTTTCATTTGGGAGCTACGGAAACGGTTTTACATGGAATTAGAAGAGTGCATAATTCTAAATGAAGTACTTGTCAGAGAATAGAACTGTAGATTAAGCATAATACCGAAGCATACATATATGAAGTTATGTGAGGTGTGCGATCCCACTGTTTTAGGGCCGTGTTATCTGGGAAAGCACATTTGAGATTTTATTTTAACCAATCACAAACATTTAGAATGTACTTTAATGGCTTGAAATATAAATTTAACACATTACAAATCTTTTCAGTTATTCTATTTTCCTCTACGTCATATACTCTGGAACAACCGACTCATGCTAAACTAGATTTGAGATGAAACCGATATTAGAATCTGAAAACTCACTTAGGACTCAAGATGAATCTTTTCTTCTTCTTTATCATCTTCTTGTTAATTAATTAATTGTATTTTTTAGTCTGATGCTGTTGCTGCTGCGATGGAGCTTCCAGTAAGAATATATCAGAATTTCGGCCTGATGTTCCAGGAATAAGTGACCGCCAAACTGGTGAGCCACTTGTGACATTGAGAAATTTTGTTATATCATATGTTTTGAACATTTGTTCACTAGAAACACCATCATGTATGGCTAGGACTTTATTGTGTCTTAGCTGCATCATTAATTCAACTTCACTAATCTGAGTAAAGCAAAAACTATCTTCAAGAAGAATAGTTTTTCAGTATGACATTTATCATCTTTTCCGCTTAAGTAACCTTTTCCATTTTCTCTGATTATATTATTCAGGAAAGTTTTTATCTGCCCCAAGAAAGAGCGAACTAAAGATTGGCATTGGCGAGTCATCTGCCTTCTTTACCTATGTCAAATCAAGCAAACTTAAAATCAACTCCCAGATGGTTGCCTGATGTTGAAGACATTGCCACTGAACATTTGAGGATAGAAGAGAAACATCAAGAATGTGTTTCCCACCAAGTGGTTGATGATGATCCCCAAGTACATGGAAATGGAGAGGCGTGGGAAAGCAACTCACAGGGAGATGACTTGCCAAGTGGTAATAGTATCCCAGATTCTCTTTCGTTGGAGAGGTCTAGTACCCCGTCTGGATCAATGGAACTTCAACATCAGAGAAGTTTTGAGGAAGACAGATCCTCTCAAGTGCCTGCACATCCAAGAAATGAACTTCAACATGATTTTTCTGGCTTACCTGCCCAAGCCACCTATCAATATTATATGCCGGGGGCTGTCAATCAAGTTATGATGTCATCGTCACCCCAAGTTTATCAAAATAATCTGCAAGACATGCAAAATCATGCTATGATGCCACAATACAATCATGTTCCACACTGCCCTCCACACATGAATGGGATGGCTTCGTTCCCCTATTATAGTATATGCTTGCATCCTGGTCAGCAAATGCCGAATGCTCAGCCGTGGCCCTCATTTGGAAGTTCAGCTTCCACTGAAGTGAATCTAAATAAGGTTGACAGAAGGGAGGCAGCATTGATTAAATTTAGGCAGAAAAGAAAGGAGCGGTGTTTTGATAAAAAGATCAGGTATGTAAATCGAAAGAAACTTGCCGAAAGGAGGCCTCGTGTTCGGGGACAGTTTGTGAGGAAGTTAAATGGTGTAAATGTGGATCTTAACGGCGAGCCTGCATCTGTTGAAGATGATGAGGAGGATGAAAGGGATGACGAGGAGCTTGCATCAAGGAATTCCTCCCCGGAAGATGGTGCTCCTTGATAGAAAGTTGTCATCTCTGGTTACATGGGAGAATTATCTAATTCATAGGATGCGTTAAATCCCTTTCATTTCGAAAGTTCCTGCATAATGTATACTGGGTGCATCGTCGTATGGGTTGAAGGCCATTGATTCAGGGTTCAAGCTACTGATTCTATTTCGGTAAAATCAAGGATCAGATCATCGTAAGGTATCCCTGTGTCCATCTTCCTGAGGTACAACATAGCCCAAAAGACACCCGATGTAGAACTATTGAGGTCGGGAAGCTTTCGTCCATGGTTCATCTCCATGTCCAAAATCCAACGGGAAATGGGTTCAACTTGCGAATCTTTCTGTCAAGAAGTTTGAGATTTTGAATTATGTGTCAATGGAGAAGTTTTAAACGATGACTTAAAAGGAGGAATGGTGTTTTCTCTTATTCCTATGGAATTTTATGACGATTGAGATATCATACTTCTCTTCTGTTTCCTTAATTTTTGTGAAATTTTGAAGATTTTTTTGTGCCTCTTTCTTTCTTCGATGTAAAAAGTAGAGTTTGCAGAACAAAAGACATCCGCGACTTGCCGGAAGGAGGCCTCCGTGCTCTCCCGATGCACGATCTACCCTGTCCTTCTGGCAATCTCCGCCTAGCGCTTAATCTTAAGATAAAGGATAGACAAGATTGCAACGGCAAAGACTCCGATGATGGAGCCGACAATCCATTTGTTCCTGCTCGGTACTCCTCGTCATGGCAGTCAACACCTTACTCTTGCTGAAACTTTCATCCACCCCGTGGAGCTGCTAATACAAATAAAATGAAATTAGGGTTACCACCTCGACAATCTCATATTCTCATTACCCTAATTCAACGGAGAGTATCTAATGTAACCGTGGATATATATATCTCCCTCTTCCTATATCTCTCGTCACGTAAGCAACAAGCATATGCTTTCCGTGGCAAATGACACGTAAAGCAGAGTAAGTAAAGAAGGTACAAGGCATAATTCGTACTGCATTAGGTGCATGCAGAAGTGACTCGCGTTGCTGATGCAAATCTTTGGTTTCCAGCATTGCTCTTCTACTCTCCTTGATTCTGTCCGTCGACTGATTCAACCTCAGTCGTCATCAACAATCTTCCTCGTTGATCGTTCGATGCCTGTCACATAACCAAAACTTCCTATGAACAACAAATCTTGACATGCTGACATGCATATAGAGAGGTAATGCATTACCGTCAAGGAATCTGCAATTCCGGGCTCCAACAACACATACCGGGCTGCAGAGTTCGCAACAGGTGATGTGATTCTCCTCACTTGGGTCTTCAAATTGTTCAAATCAGTTTTGTATTCTCTTAGCTTGGCAAGAAAAGCTGCCTTCACACTTGGCTGCAAACCCCTTGCTCACGCTCCATTTTCCTAAGCTAGATATTTTTTCGACACGGTATAATCATTAATCTAATATCATAGACAGAAAGAAAAACCTAGGTAAAGGTGTCCGATCATGTTATTTGTAGAGCATTTTTTACAAAAACATGGGACCCATGTTCACCTAATGTGAGAGAGTCCTAATTAGGCAACCCTACCGAAATTTCTCTTTGTAAGCAACAAACATCTAATCAATGAAAATTAATCTAAGCTGGATATTTTGTTGACACGGTATAATCATTAATCTAACATCATAAACAGAAAGAAAAACTCGGTTATAGGTTCCGACCATGCCATTCATAAAGCACTTCTTACAAAAACGTGGGACTACAGTCCATTCAATGTGAGAGTTGTCCTAATCAGACAACCTTATCTTAGAAATCAACAAACATCTAAAAAATGGAAATTAAGTGGAGTTAGTGCCATACCATAGCATCTGCATCCTCTAATCCAGCTTTTACCTCTGCAATTATCTGCTTGTTTTGGCTCTGCAGAGCAAGAATTCACATTGCCAGTTACCACCACCTTTTATGCACCTTCTAGAGTCTCTCTGATTTGCCTAACCCATAACCAATGCCTCATGCTTCAATTCACAATTCAACGTTTTTTATTGCACTTGACATTAACAGTTGACCGCTGAGAGACCGAGAAATCGACAAAAAAAAATAAGTAGAAAAACAAATGCAACTTTTGTTTAGGAATTTACTGCTTTAACCACTATTCTAATCTTTCTAGAAATGCATATCAAACTTAGTAAAAAAAGTTCAAAATTATTGTTTTAACCAACTGATATACTTCACGTCTGAAAATGTACGGCTCATTTAAAAGTTCTTTTAAAATAGTTGAAGACTCTTTTGGTGAAATTATTTTTAGGATCAATTCTTTGTAAAAATGTAGGTAAATCCGAAAAAATGCTAATGTAGTGCTTTTTACAAGAAGTATCAACGAAACAAGTCTGTAATTATTATGTTTCTAAAACATTTTTTTCATTTTAAAAACATTTTTAAACTTTTCGGTAGTTATCATGCGTTCTACACACCTATCAATACTCCAATAACCCCTTGAAACAAAAGAAAGGGCGAATTAAAAAAAAAATTAAAAAAAATAAAAAACAAGTCAATTGCTTTTCATTATTCAGAGATTTTAATTTTGAATACCTCCTCCATCCCCGGCGGTGGCAGCCGTGCACTTGCTTGAGAGATTGGCTGAGAGCTCGTAGTATTGGCGCTCGTACCCCTCAAACACCTCACACATCGTTCTCGATCTCAATTCCACCACCGACCCAATACTCCTGAATCCGATTAGTGCCTAAATTAATCAATTTTTTTGTTAATCAAACTTTGAATTCTGCATTAGAGGTTGAATCAGTGGATCAATCTCGGACAAACTGATGGATTTTTAGGCTTGCAGCTGCAGGTCTGGGAGTTTGCTAGTGTTCCGTCATGCCCTTGGTTGTTGCGTTGAATTACACACAAAGGGGCGGGTATTGAACGTGTCGTTACATAGATGGGTTAAGTAATATTCTGTTTACTGTCAGCTAGCAGGCCATGTAGGGTTTGAGCTTTTTATAGTGCACTCCAAGTGTTCGACGAATTTCCTCAGAGAAAATGCGTTCTGTATTTCTATCGAAATGGCAGAGGTTTTTGCTGCAAAATGCAGTCAGTACTCAGAAATCTCAATGCTTTTCGTGTTTTTACTACTCTACCATGTTGCCTGCGTCTTCGCCACCCGAGCTGCAGGAGCTGTGTACCATTGTTTCGAGTGCAATTGGCGGTCTGGATGATTTGGAATTGAGTCTAAATGAGTTTTCGGCTTCCTTAACATCGTCTCTTGTGACCCAAGTAATCGATTCTTGCAAAAGCGAAGCACCCACTAGAAGGTTGCTCAGGTTCTTCTCCTGGTGTCATAAGAATTTGGGTTATGGTTTGCAAGACAAGGACTATAACTATGGCATTCGGGTTTTCGCGGAGAAGAAGGACCACACGGCAATGAACATTGTACTCTCTGATCTTGTGAAGGCGGGCCGGGTGATGGAAGCTCAAACGTTTGGTCTTGTTACTGAGGCATTGGTCAAGTTGGGGAAGGAAGATGAGGCGTTGGGTATGTTTAAGAACTTGGACAAGTACAAGTGCCCTCAAGACGGTGTTACAGTCACTGCCATTGTCAATGCACTTTGCGCTCAAGGGCATGCTAAAAGAGCAGAAGGGGTTGTTTTGCACCACAGGGATAAGATTGCCGGTATAGAGCCTTGTATTTACAAAAGTCTTTTGTATGGATGGTCTGTGCAGGAGAATGTGAAGGAAGCAAGAAGAATCATCAAAGAAATGAAGTCGATTGGGATTATGCCAGACTTGTTTTGCTACAACACATTCCTTCGGGGCCTTTGCGAGAGAAACCTTAAGCTCAATCCATCTGGACTAGTTCCTGAAGCTTTAAATGTGATGATTGAGATGAGGTCTTATAGAATTTCTCCCAATTCCATTAGTTACAATATATTGCTTTCTTGTTTGGGAAGAACGAGAAGAGTCAAGGAATCCTGTAACATTCTTGAGACTATGAAGAAGACGGGTTGCTCTCCAGATTGCATTAGCTATTACCTTGTGGTAAGAGTGTTGTATTTGTCCGGAAGATTTGGTAAAGGAAATAAGATGGTGGACGAGATGCTTGAACAGGGCCTGCAACCGAATTGTAAGTTCTACTATGACTTGATTGGTGTACTTGTTGGCAAGGAGAGACCACATTTTGCTGTGGAGCTGCTTCAAAAGATGAAGGCAAGCGCATTAGGAGGTTATGGGCCGGTTTATGATGTGCTGATTCCCAAGTTTTGTAGGGGAGGGGACTTTGAAAAGGGTAGAGAGCTCTGGGATGAAGCCGTGGCTATGGGCGTCACTCTTCGCTGCTCGAGCAATTTGTTGGACCCCTCGATCACTGAGGTTTTCAAGCCAACAAGGAATGAGGAAAAACTCCGCCTTATAGAATGCGCCAATGCAAAGGCTGAAGAGAAAGTTAGAAGGAGAACGGGAAAGACAAAGCGGACGAAGAAGAAGAAGAAGATTCTAAGGAGGATGCTGAAGAAGAAAATGAAGAAGAAAAAGAAATCTGCCGCAACTTAATTGGTAATTTGATCTGGGAAGTAGAGATTCGAACTTTAGACCTCTTCTAACATTGAAGAAAAGTATCACCAGACTAATCGCTGGTCAATTAAAGTTGACGAGGTTGTTTCAGTGGCCAAAACTTATGGTGAAAGCTAAGACAAATTTAGGAGACTTGACAAGGATGTGAATCCAAATGTAAAAAATTTGGTCCAAAATGTTACATTTGAATTGAGTAAAGATGATCTTTTTTTTTTTCTTTTTTTTTTTTGAACAAAAAGTAAAGATGATTTGGTTGAATTAATTATTAACCTTTTATTTAGTTGGTTGCCTACTTTTGTTTGCCTGCTTATACAAACACAATTTTTCAATCCAAATTCCACTTCTTTCCACCTAACTGAGAGAGCACTACTGCAAGATTGCACAAAGTCGTATGTGGTGTTGGCTTATCAATGTTACTCGTGTAGAAAAAATTTCATGACCATACCCTTCATTGTCGACCAAATGTGCGCATCACTTAGAGCGGCAACAAAAGGTTCTCTCATGTACTTAATTTACTATGCAGCAATCATCTATTGTATAAGTTTTAAACAAGTGACAAACAGTATCAAACGGTACTATTATTATGATTAAAACTTAGTTGCATAAAAGAATTTCGAAGTGAACCTAGGTACCATTGGATTTAATTCAGATAAAAATTTCAATTAAATTGAGACTACGTTCGTACCACAAGAGCATGATTAACATCCTTTTCTTCTTTTTAATTTTAAAGGGATTAGCTGGTGGTTTCGTCGCGGTAGTCTACTTTTTTGAAGGTCAAAAAGACTCAACCTCCTCTTAACCACCATTAGATAATTCATTACCGTCAAGAATCGAATTCAAAACATACCGTCTGAAATACTCGAATTCAAAACATACCGTCTGAAATACTGTCTTGAAATTCATGGTCCCCTTCAAGAGAAAGACAATTTGTGCAACTGCCAGAAAGCCTGCAACGGTCAGTTGGTTGAACACATGGCACATGGTCCATGTGGATGAAGACAATGAGCACTGACATGCCTGTTGAGATGGGATATTGTGGGCCCCCCCATCCCGAATCTTGCTCCAGCCTCACATGTCCTCCGGAGTCTCCGACGACATGTAACTCAGTAACTCGAAGGTGGTTGGTTGTTTTCCACGTGCTTTGAGCTGGCGTGGCAGCGAGTGGACATTCTCCATGCAAAGTACGAGAGGGAAGCCGGCTTCCACTTTCTGATCGCCGACACGCCTTTTCGTGCTGATGTACAACAGGAGTCTGAAGATCACGCGGCAATGCCAATGCCAGCAGTGGCGCGTGGAGGCGCGGTGCATAACAGGCGGGAGACAGCTGAGACAGGCTCCATCTGGACCGTTCCCACAAAGACGCGCGTTTTATTATTATATAATAAGACAGTTCATTTTTTTTTTTTGGTCATTGTTAATAAGACAATTCATAATTAAGTATAAAGTTGAGTGTGTGCACTACTGAAAAAATTATTTCAAATTTCGACGAGAAATATTAAAGAGGTTCTCTTAAAAGTAGACTTTGACATTTTATCACTTCCGACACATTGTTTAGTAATATTGATACATTAATTAATGTTAAATTATGAGATGTCACATAGTTAATAAAGAGTTCCACTTGTGAGAGAATTCTTTTAACATTTCTTATTTAGAAATCCAGCTCGGACAATAAAATATGAGGAATGTTAAAAAAACTCTCTCAAAAGTACGACTTTCTCTACTCTCAATACGATCATAATATTTTATAATATTAACATCAAAATTAACGTTAAACTTTCTGTTCATAGAAAGTACGGCATCCCCCTAGCTTCTCTCATAAAATATAAAGACAGAGCCCTACGACAGTCGGTGTTGGGCACGTCTTTCACACTTCCTCCATTTTTCTAAGAGTAATCTCCAAACAATCAGACGCCAACCCTCCGCCATGCCCTCCTCACTCTCTCCGGCTAGGGTTTTACACCTCCGCACAGCCCTATAAACTCCCCATACAAATTTACAAACACAACCCCAGAAAACACCAAAGACACTCGACGCACAGAGCAACTGGATATGGGGCAAGACAGTCCTTTCGCAGCTCAGAAGCGAACCAGCTCGGGCGGGCTTCCGACAACCACCACTGGAACCTCGGCCAACGGCCGTGCGGGCCGCGGTTACGGAGCCCTGCCACGTGGACGACAGATCCAGAAGACATTCAACAACATCAAAATCACCATCCTCTGCGGCTTCGTCACCATCCTCGTCCTCCGCGGCACGATCGGCGTCGGCAGCCTCGGCAGCTCCGAGGCCGACGCCGTCAACCAGAATCTGATTGAAGAGACGAACCGGATCCTCGCCGAGATCCGGTCCGATTCCGACCCCAACGACCCGGACGAGCTCACCGAGACCGAGATCAACCCCAACATCACATACACGCTCGGACCCAAGATCGCGAATTGGGACACGGAGCGGAAGGATTGGCTCGGGTCGAACCCAGATTTTCCGAGCTTGGTTAACGGTAAGCCCCGTGTTCTTCTCGTTACTGGGTCTCCCCCTAAGCCTTGTGATAACCCAATTGGGGATCATTACTTGTTGAAAGTAATCAAGAACAAAATTGATTACTGTAGACTTCATGGGATTGAAATTGTGTATAATTTAGCTCATTTGGATAAGGAACTCGCCGGGTATTGGGCGAAATTGCCGTTGATTCGGAGGCTGATGCTTTCGCATCCGGAGGTTGAGTGGATTTGGTGGATGGATAGTGATGCATTGTTTACTGACATGGTGTTTGAGATTCCGCTGTCGAAGTATGCTAGTCATAATCTAGTGATTCACGGGTACCCCGATTTGTTGTTTGATCAGAAGTCGTGGATTGCGCTGAACACCGGGAGTTTTCTGTTTAGGAATTGCCAGTGGTCTTTGGATTTGCTTGATGCTTGGGCTCCGATGGGTCCTAAGGGTCCAATAAGGGAGGAGGCCGGGAAGATTTTGACGGCTAATTTGAAGGGGAGGCCGGCATTTGAGGCGGATGATCAGTCTGCATTGATATACTTGTTGCTTTCGCAGAAGGATCAGTGGATGGAGAAGGTGTACGTTGAGAATTCGTATTATTTGCATGGTTACTGGGCTGGATTGGTGGATCGGTATGAGGAGATGATCGAGAAGTATCATCCCGGTTTGGGTGATGAAAGGTGGCCGTTTGTGACCCATTTCGTGGGTTGCAAGCCCTGTGGAAGCTACGGAGATTACCCCGTGGAGAGGTGCTTGAGCAGCATGGAGAGGGCATTTAATTTTGCAGATAACCAGGTGCTTAAGCTCTACGGGTTTAGGCACAGGGGTTTGTTGAGCCCTAAGATCAAGAGGATCAGGAACGAGACAGCAGCCCCTCTAGAGTTTGTTGATCAGTATGATATTCGGCGGCATCCAGTGCAAGGGGGCAGTGGATCACACAGCTAGTGAGTAAAACATCCTCATCGCCTCGAATGTTTGATTATTTGGTAGGTCACGATGTAATACATGAGTTACAGAAGAAGATTTTAAACTCGATTACAGTTCGCGTTTTCCTTGTATTTTGTTTGTTCAGTTGTCTTTCTACTTGTTTCCAACTTTCAAGAACAATAGAACAGAATTCTTTTACAATCTTGATATCATTTTGTACTGTGTTCTAGTAATCGTTGAAGTATCGACTGCATTATACTTCCCCATGTTCTTGTTGTCCCGAGTTATTTCTGAATACTATTTGTCCGAGATTTATAGGATACCCCGGAGCATAGTAGAATTGTCGTTGTTCGGTCTCCTTGTAAGTCGATCCATCGTAAGCATGTTTTAGGTCTAGGGTTTGTCAACTTAGGTTTTAGTGGTCAGTACTTGGAAGTTAATTTGGAAGGAACACTAGTTGTATTCCAGAGAGGTAACTAACTCTGAAATTCTATGTTAAAGAGAGAATCCTCCTTGTGATATGTATGTTGTGCCACTTCAGGTTTTAAGGTTTATTTGGGAGTGATTTCAAAATGACTGAAAACGTTTTTAGAGAAAGTATTTTTGGGTTTCAAAAGCACTTGAAATGCTTTCTACAAGAAGCACCAATTATGGGTTTCTTGCAGGAATTACTTTAAGTGTTTTTAAAGGATTCACTTGCAATTAAGGAGCATTTTGAAAGAGAGGTTTTTTTATGTACGGGGAACAAGTGGTAATATAAGTAAAAGAATAATATAAATTTTAATTTTATTCGATTTATATGACAGATGGTGCACCGGTACGTGCTCAAAATACAATTAAAATCTCTCATACAAAAGATGTCAAACGTAGTAAAAAAGGATCCAAAATCCAAAGATCAATTGATCTGGGTCTTTGAAATTTGATCCAACGGTTAAAAATAAAGAAGTTAATAAAAACTTTTAAAAATTATAATAATTTTTTACATTAAATTTCAATCACTTGATCTCTAGGCTTTGAAGGAAGAGATCCAAAGAATCTCTTTCCATTAAAAAATGCCGCAGGAATCAACCGACTTGTTTTGTTTTTTGCCTGACAGCAATGTCTTATTATTTCTTCTTATTATTTAATTGTCTTTTTAAACCATGAGGTACCGATCATGCTTCCTTTGCCGTCGATTTTGTTATTACCAATGAGCCACTATTTTTCTTTAATGATATAAAAAACATCTATGTTTTTACATTTGAGTGTAAGTTATTAAATATAAATTAAATTGAATGTTTTGAATTTGATATGTCTTTTGAAGTTGTTCTTCAGTTTGCATTTACATGAGAAATTTTTAAATTTAGAGATTTGTATGATTGATTGCTAATAAATTAATAAAAATAAATTGACTAAAATAACCAAAACAAATTTCAATTATTGAACTAATCAAATCAGTGATCAACAACATATTTAACGTCATTTCATCAATTGAAATTTAAAAAAAATAATAGTTAAGAAATCATCTTATTAAATCATATTAGTAGCGATTAATTATTAAATTTCTTTTTTAAATAATTTAAAAAAAAAAAATCAACACTAAAATGGTGTCCCATGCAATGTCCATTTGGAAAATAATAATTTTAGGCAATTTCTCAAAATTATTACCACACTTTTCTACAAGATCTGAGCCGTTGATAACCAAAGCCGTTCGGATCCATGTTCTACTGATTAACAAAATTTAAAAGGATAATAAAATACAACAATTTGCCAATTGATCAAGCTGATATCACCACCGTTGGAAGACACGGCGGCGATCCAGAGAGCTTCCATGGAGTTTTCTCGAGGCCCGGCTTAAAAAATGGCGGGCGAGCACTTCGATTCAGCGAGCTTCATATTCAAACGCATCCCCGAAATCCAATTCAAAGAATGGTCCATGGTCGCCATCAGAGACTATCCCTCACCCAACACTGACTCCTCCGTCTTCCCTCCAATCAACCACGAAAATCTCCACCGTCCATCACAACCTGATCAAAAGCACCCAGACCCATTATCGCCATCCCCGTCGTCTCCGTTGCTATCGTCGTCTTCGTCGTCGTCGCTGTCGTCATTCTCACCGTCCGATTCCGATGAACCGGCCCCGGTTTCGCCGCTTCCGTCCGTTGCCCAGGTCCGGAAACCTGGCGAATTCTCCACCTGGGTAGGAATTGGATTTGGGTTACTACGTTCCAAGCTTTCTGCTATGGCTTCCTCATCGGGGTTCGATAAAGTTTGGAGCTTTGCCTCCGGCGCAGGAATGGCGGGTGTGGTGTTCGTGTTATGGTCCTTGTTCTTGCGGGCTCGGCGAAGGCGGTATCGGAATCGTTTGATGTTGATTGGCAAAGAGAAAGACGAGGTTAGTTTGTCATCCAACGGCTTGAATTTAGCTGCTGCCTACCAACTGTTTGATGAATTGCTTCAAATTTGATTGACTTTTATGTGTTCGACGAAATGCCAATGTGGGTGCCGAAAAATTTACACCGGAAGCGGTTTTCAAGCTTCCTTTTGTTTCTTGTTGGTGTGATTACTTGAAGCAAATGTATCGTTTATTACTGTGAATGTAGCCGCCTTTTGTGTACTGAATTGTTTGAGTTGATGCATTTGCAGAAAATTAATAAACTGCTGCACCAAATCGCTCAGATGAACGAAGTTCTAGTCGCTCGGCATAGAGTTCTGGCTTCGAAACTGGCTAATTGAATAGAGAAATATAACATCTTTAGGTACTAGCTTGCTATGAATTTGTGAAATTAGGATTGACAGCGCAATAACAGAGCTGCGAAACATTGCAGTAGACTTGCAATGGCGATCTGATGCTCCAGTCATCTCTGAGGAGAGAGGACCGATCTCAAGTTGAAGATCGTATAACGGAAATGCCAGCACAAGTTTGAGCTCTGCAAACTATTTCGGAGTGGAGAAAGCAAGTCTGGCATCCGATCTTCGAAGTTTCGAAGAAATTGCGGAGAGACTTTGATGCACAATATTCTTTATCTATGGAAGTCAGACAGTCTTATTAGTTTGCTTACTTTTTATAGTTCATGGTTTATGAACCCAGTTGAAATATCTTAGCTTGTGTATATCTGGTTTGGGATCTTTATGTGCATGTGTATTGACAGGTTTTCGTTTTAGATAAAAGTTCAAGCTCATGAGTTCATCTCGTTTAATTTTCCGGTACAATGTAGTTTAATTTTCCCGAAAAAATCACGGTGTTTTTTCATTAAGAAACACGTTGAAACTTCTATTAAGAACCATAGTAAGTGCTTCATGAAAAAAACACCTGAAAGTGCTTCATGAAAAAGCATCTGACATGTGCTTCTCAAAAAAATGCTCCCATTATCCATGAACACTTCTTTGTTTTGTCATAAGTTAATAAAAAGCGTTTTTAATTGTCGGAAAACATCTTACTGACTGTAAAATGATTGCAGGCAAACCAAACTATGCATGACCGTTTCCCATGTGGATAACTAAATGAATAGTAAATCACGTTTAAAAGGAACAAACCAATAGCATGACGACAGAGATGGACGGCTTCCAAGTTCCAAGAAGTCAGCATATAAACAAACTAAAATGTAGGCCAATGTTTGCTTCGGATCTAATTCAAAGTCAACTCTTTAACTTCGTACAATAAAACAGGATTTGTCTTACTTTTTATTCATTAGATTGGTAAGCTAGAATAAATAATATTTTCTAATTGGGTTTTTAGCTAAATAATATATGAGATTGTCATAACTTTTTACTTTAATCCTGAAATTTAAAATCGATAAAAGTAATCTTTAAGTTTGTTCACCGTCAATCAGTTTGGTCATTTCTTGAAAAATTTCCGTTAAATAAAACCTAAATAACAAAAAAAGAAAAAAAATCCCTCAAATTTTGTCAATTCATTTTGCCCATTGTTTCTTAAATTGAGAGCATTTTGTCATTTTACTCATTATTTAATTTCTACTGATTTCAAATCTCAAGAACAAAGTAAGGAGTGCCAATCTTATGGACCATTTTGGCTAAAATACCTTTCCTAATTCAATGTTAATCATTAATTTCCATACTATCAAGTAGTCCGGACTATTGAAGAAAAATTAATAAGAAAGAAGTTAAAATTTATGAATTCAAGAATTAAGAGAAGAACAAAGTTGCACAATAAAAAAATAAAACAGAATTTTTATTTTATTTATGGTATTATTAATAGGGGTCAAACCCAAAGTAACAATAAATAAAAAGGGGTGTGCTATCCACACTTTTTTTTTACTTCTCACACACCCTTTGTTAATTTCTATCCTTTGAACTTCTTCAATCCATCCGATGGCCGAAATTTAGAAAGGGTGTGTGAGAAGTAAAAAGGGGTGTATGGATATCATATACCATAAACAAATTATCCACCAACATTTTGCGGATCAAAGAATGTTGAATTTTCAGAGTACGTAATCTGTAAACTGTATTCAATTAAGAATACGAACTAAACCCACTTACAGCTCTCGTCATTGCACTTGACAAGCCCGCTCTTCCGCTCGAAGATATATCAGTCCCCGGTGTATTCTCTGCAGACCGAAAAATGGATAAGAAACCGTCTAACGACACAAATACCAGAGCTTCGCAGCTCTGTAGTTCAAACGCCATGGCGTTGATGTATGGAACTTATTCGAAACGAGATCTCAAGGAGCATGTGTTTGTTCTTTGTTGAGAGGTATAATTCATCGCTAGGCCTTACGCGTCCATGAAATCGCTAATGCAGATGGAAGAAAAGTAAAATACCTCTTTTGTATCTTGCAGGCGTAGAAGATCCAACCTTTCATGAGGACGCCGGTTTGACAAGGAGGCAAGCTGCATCGAATCATACATTAATGCCGCTGATAACATGATTGTGCGCTCAATATACTAACTAGTAGATGAACAGAAAATTACAAGATTACCCAGAAGCTGAAGCGTTCAGGATCTTGTAGTGAAGGCATCATCGCTTCCACACCGAGAAGTCTCTCAAGTCGTCTTCGATCTGCAAATAGAAAGGGGCAGAAACCATTCTCATGTGCACTGGCATCACATGTATACTAAAAACTTTCATGGCTTCAATAAAGACTAGACGTCATCCCTGAGTGTTTTACCTTGACGTGCTGCTCTCTTACCCCGCGCTATCCATGATCGAGCATCCTCTGCTGCATTACTTGCCAATTCCTGCAACTGTACGGATACAAAAGTTAAACCAATATGCATAACCAAAATGACAGGAAAACAAGAGACGAAATTATCTCTATCTTCCCATTTCCGGAAACCAAATTATCATAAACTTACTTCTTCTCTCGCTTCACGTCCTTCTGGAGGAGTGTCTTGTACCCATTCAATCTCTGCAACACGGTACCTGCATTAAAAAGACAAAAATACTGAGCAAGATGCCAAGAACAGTTACTGGAGATTGAATGAATAGCTAGACAACTCACCCATCTTGGTCCCAAGATCGAATTATGCGAAACCTTCGCCGACTTTCAATCTGCATGAAATTTTATTATTATAAATATATGACTGGCTCTTTGAAAAAAGAAAATCACAAAATGCAGTACAGTTTAAGTAAAACGGCACTCGTATCTAACCTCTAAATATAAACGCCCATCCGGAAGTGGCTCACACCTACATAGATAGTACTTGGTAAAGTAATTATAAGAAAAAATCTATAAAATAGAAGTATTAAGAGGCAGCATTCATGGTGGAGTTTACAAATGACATTCTGCATACTACAAAATTAAGAAGGAAAGAAGGATGATGAAAGACATACTCGGTAATTTCTACTTCGCAAGCAAATTCAGCTATTGAACCTGTTGATGAATCAATGATAACCTATAAAATATAAGAAAGCCACAATCGGTGAAAGTTATACTTCTGCATCAAACTTTATATACGTAAAAAAAAAAAAGTTAAAAGGGAAAGAAAAGGACCAGTGACAATAATCTACCATTCCCATCCGACGATTGCCTTCCATTATCCTCCTTACCTGTTGTTTTTCAGTAACAAGTTAAAAACAAATTCTATAATTATTCAATACAAAACACATGGACCATACAAATGTACCAAATCGATACACAAAAACTTTGCCAGATAAGTTTTTCAAATAGTTCTTTTGCATAAAATGTCAATCCAAGTCTCAATATTTTATGAATGTCATACGTGGAAAGTATAAATGTTAAGCAACTTACCATAAGTCTATACCGTGGTTCAAAAATGTGCAGCGGAAACTTCTGGAATGGGAGGACAACATCCATTACAAAGAGTGGCATCAAATCAACACCAAAGTTTGTCATTTGGTCATTCTCTAACTTCCTTTCGGCAAATTCCTCTGGGAAGTTCTTCTGTATAATGTCATTGAGGGTAACGCTGGCAAAAATGAAAATAAAACATTCCATGATGAACATAACAATTTGAACTTCTCCAACAATGATTTCCTAAATACAGATTGACATTATTAATTTCATAGTACTTGAATTATTTTTTTCGTTTATTGGACAATCTAGAACCATAAATTTACTAATTGTTATGCCCTGTATTAGGCACAATGCGAGATTCAATATTATAAAAGGTGAAACCATGAACCATTGCCTAGATGTGCCATTCCCCAATAAACAAAACATGGGTAGAAAAACCCATAAAGCAATAATTCCAATGTCAAATGATACAACTCATTCAAATATTATAAATCAGCACTTTACCTGATTGCACACGTTCTAGGACTAATGAAAAGAATTGTGCGGCACAAAGGACATTTGTTACCTAAGATAATTAACAAAAGGCAGAGAAAGAATAAGGGAAAAGAAGATATATACAAGCGCAATTCAATAGAATAATACCAGCAAAATACTCACCTCGATCCATTGACTGAAATAGGCATGAACGACAAAAGGAATGTCCACAAGGAGTTGTGACAGGTTCGTATAGTAATTTTAAGCATAGTGTGCAATCAAAGTCATCACTGCGTTCTGCTTTTCTATGGCTTCTCCTCCCTGTGAAATTAGATTGTATTCTCTCTAAATTCTGGAAAGATTCCTGAAGATAATTGCTACAGAATACCACATAAAAACAAATTAGATATTCACAAACAGAATCTCATACAGCCAGTGGGTATTGAATAACATATAGTTATATCCATTTATTTAGTAATCAGAAAAATGAAAAGCATTATATTTACCTTAAAGGATTAACCTGAAGTCCCGAAAGAATAACATCACGGGCCATTTCATATTTCTCCAACTGCCAATTCAAATGAATGGACACTTTAAACTGATGGACAATCAATCACAAGTAAAAAGGTGCAGGGGGAAAATAGTCATTGCAGATAAAAATAAAAATAAATGGTTGTAACCTCATATTCAATATTTCAATATGATAAAAATTATGAAAAGGGGCCACATAGCGTGACCAATTTACAAGTAATAGACCCCTGGGTGCCTCGTCCTAAAAGAATAAAGGTAAAAACAAATAGCAACATGTCCTCACCAAAATGAGAGCTTCGGCCCTTAATATGTACGCCTTTTCTGAATTACTTCGAAGGTTGATTAGCTTCTCTGCATCCTTTAAAGCAAGCTGAAGAATTTTTTTAAAGTTCTTTAGAATGATACCAACGGCTATCAGGTTCAAAAAGACTCTGGTTTCCTAATACGTAAGCAGTGAGCCAATAAGACATACTTCAGCATGTGTTGTGGGATCCAATCCAGTCCGTGCTCTATATTCAGAAGCTGATGCCGGTATGCGTTTAAGGAATTTACTGATCCTGCTTGAAATAAGTTTAACAAAACATATTACAAATAGTGTACAAAATTAGGTCAAAATTCATCTCGAAGATGCTTGAGAAGAGCACAGCCTAGACAGTGAATGGCATAAAAATTAAGGTTCAAGAATATAATTGATAAAAGTAACCTGATATAAGCAGCACATCGGTTGGCAAGAATAATTGGATCACATGGTTTAATGTTATTGGCTCTGGAGTAACAATTAATTGCCTGATGAAATTAACTTACTAATCAGCAATGAATAAACAAGATTCAGAGAAGCTAACCGAAAATATTTCAGCCAAAAACTTAAAACTCATTAAATTACACAAAATTTTAAGCAGAATGATAAAGTGCTAATAATCATTCCAGTCAGCAAGAAAAATTTATCACTTGATTGTAACATATTTTATTTCCTAAAGAAATAAGCATGGCAATAGTGGCAACACAGTATCAAGGAATCCGATGATAATAACGACAACCACAATAATATTACCATAATAATCTTTCCCAAACCGACAACCCTTGGTGACCCTTAACACTAAACACGGCAAGAAGGAAACCCCCAAAACAAAAAGATTTAAAAACCAAATGTTACATGTCCCTTCAGTTGTTGATGGAAGAATGACACTGATTGAAAATTGAAATACCGTGTCTTCTTTTGTCAAAACTTGTACAACATATAATTACCTCTTAAAGAATATAATCAATAAACACTGGCTCTCTGCTTCTCTTATACTCCTCTAAGAATCTCATATCAACAACATCTACCTGATCACAATCACCATTTCCAATAAAACTAAGGTTACTAAAAGCCTTGGTCACCTAAGGAAATCCACAAATACAATGGAAGAAAATTACAGACATCCCTCATAATGGTCCTTACAACTCAAACAGTTAGGCAACACCTACTAGGTAACTCCAAAGACAAGGTTTCTTAGGATAGCTGCAGCAAATTAAGAACACTAATAAAAGATATCGTGCGGATTTTAAAATTTAGAAGCTCGCAAAAGAAGATAATATGCACACAGTGATTGATTCTAAATTATCACCTCCTCAAAGCGATTCTCTCTAAATGCCTGATTTCCATTCTTCACAAGGTCAAAAACGTGACCAAAAATGTCCCAGGGCAATGATGGCTCTCCTTCATTCGCCTGCATTTCAGACATTGCCATACCATCAGATTCACAAGCACGGTCTTAAAGTGTCAACAGAAAAATGTTCTCTCACTTAACAAAACTTAACACGTGCATTGGTTTTGGACAAATTTATAGCAGTAAAACTAGTAAACACAATGACAACGAAACTCAATCTCATAAACTCTTGACTTGACTCACATAAAATAGGAACTCCACCGAGCTAAATCAGAAAACTTTATTATATCATTAGAACTCAAAATAGATTGCCGTTTATTCTTTATTTTGCTACAAATACTGCACCGAATGAAGCAAGCTATAAGCCAAGATGAAGTTAAATACACAGGCTCCGGTTCAAGTTCTAACACTCTGATATACAAAAACTTTAACATGGCTAATGTTCCACAGTTTAAATTAAGCTCAAAAGATCGAAAAAAAAAACGAACAACCAATCAAATGCACCAGCTATATAAAAGAATGTGAATTTGACATGATACTTTATCCAATCGATGGTGAAAACTCCGTTCTTCGAATTCGTTGGCAAAGAAAATGCTGGGAAAACACAAGAAACTTCAATGTCTCCACCGAACTCAGTTCCCAAATTACATCTACCAAGCAGATTTCAACTAAAAGTTTCTTGTTTCCTCCAATCCTACAGCTTTAAATTATTGAAAGAAATCATTTTTCCCACATGTTCTTGTTCCATCGATCAAATTATCAACAGAAGTCACGTTTTCATCAGAAAAATAATCATAATTCCAACAACAAATTACTCAAATTATCCTCATTTCCAACATTTTCTCAGCAACCAAACAGGCCAAACAAAACTAATAAAAAAAAACGCACACTCACCGAAATGTAGTCCTCGACGTTGCTAGGCACGTCGGTGCCGAACCCGGACGGCTCCGGCTCGGCCTCGCTGGACATGAAGGAAGCCGATTCCAAGAAAACGCGGAAAGAAGCTTGAAAGTTGGAAGCTTTGAGAAAACCGAGGCTATGTAAGCTTCGGGGGAAGCGGAAGCGCTTATAGAGAAGCCAAACGGGTGAGAGTGTGAGCGTGAGTGCGAGTCCTGCACGCTTCGTGTTCGTTTCTGTATCGCTTCATTTCACTCGCGGACCACATTCTACTACGTCCTCTCCGCGGCTTTTCGCCAGAAGCGCTTTTATACTACCTGCTTTTCTGCTTCTTGGTTCCGGATCCTCTGTGGCCCGTTCTATCTGCGCGCGCAATGGCATCCCATTCTATCCAGCTGGATTTAAGTGAGGGAGACGAGTTGTCACCATTTCAGCACCTGTCTTGAATCCATTAGTTAAATGTAGGGGTGGCCACTTGAATCCAAAAACTTAAATCGAAACACGAACCAAACCGAATCGTATGGGATTGTCGATTTTTTACGTTTGGGATGGTTTTGGTTTGAAACCAAACCGTAGTGGAAAAAACCCAACAATTTGGTTTCTATGGACACGGTTCAATTCAATGTGGTTTTGAGTGAAATCAAAACCAAAAGATTTTGCAGTTCGATTTTGAAACTAAAATAGACATGGAACCAAACTATTTGATTTTGGTTTAGTTGGGTTTCAAACGGTTGTGGTTTGGCTTCAAACCATTTGCAAACTAGATGAATATAGCTTCAGTTTCAGATGGCCAAAACCGAAAGTTTTTGCGTTTGGTTTGACGTAACTTTGAAGTTATAACCGAAATAGAATCAAACCATGTGATTTTAATTCAGTTCGGTATCAAACGATTTTAGTTTAGTTTTAAACCATTTGCAAACAAAACGAATATAGCTTTGGCTTCAGATGGCCAAAACCGAAACCAAAGGATTAGATCATTGTGAGTAGTTATGTTTGAAACGTTTGGAGGAATATATAAAAGCCGTCTTGGACCTCTTGGTCTTGATACCGTTGGTTGGTTGAAACGGCAACCGTCTTAAGAGCCCGAAGAAGTTTGCTTACAAATAACATGAGACAAAACTCGTGTTTAAGTCCACGAAATCTTAATCCTGAATCATTTTATTAGTTAATGTGAATCCATGTGAGTTGGAAAGATGACCAAGAATTTAAAAGCTAATAAAAAAAATATAGGTCAAAATGTAAATATCAAAATAAAAATTAATTAAAAAAGATGCCCAACAAGAACGAGGAGTACGGCCTACGGCAAATATGGCTAGGAGTGATTGAGATAACGCCACGTTGACTTGGTTATGCCCTCATTATTTATTTAAGTCTTTTTGGTTTTATTACACATACATAAATTTTTTAATGTGCCAAAAACATGTCATACACGTAATTATATAAGAGGAGGGATACTTGAAAATAAATTTCTAACCCTTGTATAATGACATAATTGCTCTGTTCCGAACACATAAAAAAATTGATATGCAACTAAACATTCGTCATTGTCTTAATTCTCGCCTGTCTTTTTTCACTCCAAAGCACACTTAGGGTTGGCTTGAAACTGTTATGTTGAAAGCATTACTGTTTATAAGCGTTTTTAGATGGTAAAAGAGTTTTTAAGGTTTTTTTAATTGTTGTTAAATATATTCAAAGAATCAAAAGTACTTTTTAAGTTTTCTTAAAGCCGTTCCAAAGGTCTTAATTAGTCAATTAGTTACGGTTCAAATGGCATTTGGGTAAATAACGTGGTAAAGATCCCTAGATCAAGGGGAAGAATCCATAGTAGAGGATTCTATCTGATTTGTATTCACACGTGATCATTTGTTCTATCAGTATCCAGTTTTCATTTTATTTGTAAATGTCTTAAGTTTAAATCTCATGGTAAATCCTTATTTACTAGTTACACGCTTATAAAAGTGAACAATAAACATTGAATTTGAGCAAGATTGGAAGCTTGTATGGGATTGTATTGTATTGTCTTTATCAAATTGGAATCAATGAAACTTGGTCTACATCAAGTGTGCCCTAAGTGCCCTGTGGGTTCTTCTCAGGGTATTCTGCATAATTTTAACAAAAAAATCACCATAGAAACAAAACGAATCAAAACCAATAGTGAACGCTTTGGTTCGGTTTGATTTGAGCCTGGTTAAATAATGTTAAAATTACATACAGTTCGACTTTTTAATCTAAATGGTCTTTGAGATTGCTATAACTTATTATTTTGGTCACTAATAAAAATCGTTAGAAGTGATCCCTGAGTTTGTCCATTGTAGCTCATTTCGTGAAAAATATGTCTATATTATTGTTATATTGTCACATGAATGAGGAGATTGAGGAAATTTTCACGGAATGATCCTAAAATGATTTACGGTGGAAAAATTCGAAAACCACTTCTATCAACTTGCACTGTATTTTATTATGACACATAGTGTCAATAGTGGAGCCGCTAAGGGATCAGAATGGTCCCTAGCCCATCTTGCCTTTTTTTCTTCTTACGACTATAATAGATGATGTTGCTGTATATTAATCGAATTCCCTAAAATTCAAGTGTGTTCTAAATCCAAACATTTTTTCGTACTAGGTCAGACCTCATTTTTCTCACCATCTCTCTTATTGCAGTGCATTCTTCATTTCCCCTCCTTATTCTATCAACTTTTCTTGGGCTTTAAATTATATTTTAAAATTTATTGCTTATTCTTAACCTCATATTTAGGTTTCTGGGTTTATACACTGTTTTTAATTCTCTCTACCGAATTTAGGATCTTTCGATTTTTATGCAATTACTCCAATCTCTCGTGTTCTGAGTTCAAATTATCTATGTATGTAGAAACCCTCCCACACATGAAATCTTGATTCCATCACTGCATTTTGTATCGGATACATTGAAATATTTCTCCTCTCTAAAGAGGATCACTCACACGAGATGCCCATGTGAAAAAAAAAATAATAATAATAATAAATAAATCTGAAGTAGAAGAATTGGCAGATTGGATCAAGAGTGGAATTGATGATTCAAACTGCACCAAGTATTGTTGCAAGCATATTTATTGGTGACCCAAGTAGCGTTGCAAGCTCATTTATTAGTCCTTTGAAATTAAATTTAACCTCACCTAACGATCTGAAAATCAACCATCATAGGATAACTTAATGGTTAACGACGAATTTTAGGCCCGTATTTCTCACAATACGTTTTGAGTTATATTCCTAACGTTGGTGAATCACATGATGGTAGTCAGAAGGAGGCAAAAATGTCTTTGTAAATCTTCTTAGTCCCAAAAATGATGAATTGCCGTGACAAATTCACTGGCTAGTCCCATTTTTTAAGAAATGATAATAAAAAAAAAAATTCCGAAAATCGAACCCATTGGACAGCATTTTTTCACAAAGCCGAATCTACGTAAGGTGACAAGGAGGAGGCAGATGCATGGATGCATGCATGCCATAAAGACACGTCCATCTCCCATGCAAATATAGAGTAGTTCGGGCCTAACCCAAAAGCTACCTGGGCCTGTCATTATCAGCCCAATAATCAGTCAGAGGCCTTGAAATCATCTAAATTTGCTCATCAGGCATTGGTCCGTGATTCACTAATATTCCTCGTGAGCCCACTTCTTTCATTCAGGCAAATAAATCTCCGAACGGCGTAGTGCCATGGCAGATGAATTTAACGCTCCTCTGAGTCGGCACGTGGACCCTCCATGAATGTCTTGCCTAACAAATGGGTCTTTCGTATCAAATGAAATTAATTTCTGATGGTTCTCATCAGCATCACTGTGTTAGGCTCTAATTTGATGATTTTTTTTAGGATTTGAACTATATGAATTATTGTCATTTTGTTTTAGAAGCTATTAGCAGATTAGTTTTTTTACTTTCTGCAGAATCAGTTTATTACTTTGTGCAGAATCAGAGATTTTGTTCTCCATATATCATCAAAATTTTCTGTCAACTGAAAAAGTAGTGAAAGCTTTACTCTTGCTAAAAAGTTAATGACAGAGAAAAGATTAAGAATTCTCAAAGGAATAGTGCGAGGCTGAAATGTCTTTATGATTGTTTTGACTTCCGAAAAGATAAATTATTATAACGAAGTCAACAACTGGTTCCTTTTTTAAGAAGAAAAAGTCTGTTGATTTAATCCATTGACACTTAAGTTCCAACTAATCTAATCAGTTAGCTAGATCTAATCAGTTAGCTAGATTAGCATACCTAACCACCAAGATTATTTAGACACGTCAAATCCTCTTCAATTTTTTTAGGGAAAACTAACGAAAAATCCTAAAAAAAACTTTAGTTTTAATGAAAATGACAAAATAAAGATGTAAATGAATAGTATCATAAGTAACTTTTCAAGGTAAAAATGTCATTTTCGTTAAAATTAAACAGCACAGAAAGTGTTTCATTAAGATTCTCATTTTTTTAAGATACTTTAAGATATTTGGCAAGGTGTGTGGATAGGTCCCAATGGATTTGGATCCCATCCGGATTCAATTTGTGAGAATCCTAGGAATCCTCACATTTTAGTCATTCATTGTGCGTCGTGCGGTCATAAATCATTTGACTTTTTTTTTTTTTAAATTTAAAATTAAACACAAATAGTACATTACGAAAACTGACCACACGTTGTACGATAAATGATTAGGATGTGAGGATTCCTAGGATTACACAAAGTGAATCCGAAGAGAGTCTTCTTCCGGTCCCAATAATATCGAACATAATAAAATAATTAAAAAAAAAGGTGGTGCAGTTTCTACGTGGGTAATGTAAAAACAAAAGACAATAGGAATTAGGGGTGAGTTCGGTTCTTAACGGTTCGGTTTTTTCTTAAAACCGAAACCGAACCGAAATTTCGGTTCGGTTCGGTTCGGTTCAATTTTTTTTCGGTTTTTCTCGGTTCGGTTTTTTTTCGGTTCGGTTTTTTTCGGTTCGGTTTTGGTTTTTTTTCGGGGTTTTTTTTTTTTTTTTTTTTCCCTCCAAAATTGAAAAAAAAATGGAAATATGAAAGTTCACATTCAAAGTCACTTCTTCATAGTCATCCACATGAAAACCTACAAGTATGAAATCAATTTTACACATCTACATTTGAAGTGGTACTACTATCATAACCTTAGAGACCATATTCAACAACAAAACCACAATGAGAATCCAAAGTTTAAGTCTTCTAAGTTCCAACTAAATTTGTGGATCCACCATGAGTAAGAGGAGTTTGTTGAGTTGCCACCATGGGGGGTTGAGGTGGAGTTGATTCACCAAC